TCCACCGGTGACTCTTAGCAAGGTCCCATTCTGTGACATTGTACCAGGGAAGTCAGACAAGAAGCGGAGTATGTATGACTAACCTTACTATCCGTTGCCTTGTACGCCCCAATGATTGGGCTATAGCGGTGTATCGCGCTGCCAGATGCATCCTGGTTTATGAGTGCATGATCCGCAGTTTGCGGAAGTAAGTAATGACACTGGCCAAAATTTTGACTTGGTTCTGACCAAAAAGGAAATCGATGAAAGTTCACGTTGTGTCTACAGCGGACATGATTCCCTCAATTCCTAGAGCGTGCCCAACACTTTTGATCAATCATACATGTACAATATTTGTCTTGTGTCTATCTTTGCACTGAATATATCTATAGCAGAAAAGAAACTGAATTGAAGCTCCCATTCTCGAATTCGCCACTCCCCGCTCAGTACACCTCATCTCCTTGCTATGCTCATTTCTAGTTACGATCCAGCCATGAGTCCGCGCGATTATTCCCCTTTATTCTCTGCGGCCCCGATGGGCGAAAACGCGTCTGAGCAATGAGTTATCAGCGATCTGGGCTTCATGCTTCAGTCACTTCTGCATCATCCGTGTGCTCAAACAGCGGAACTCCACAAACGTGTAGAATCAGCTGTCTGGGAGATTTCTACCAGCGATTCTCGTTGTAATTCAGTATCCGGCATCAAGGACTCGGTTGGTTAGACGTTGCAGATAATTCAATTTGCCACTCTGTGCAAGTGTGGACACGCGGTTCACTGACTTCCAGTAGGGATATAATAAGAAACAGGTTTGTCTACATAAATCTCGTCTTAAATATACTTCGAAACGCAATGACTTGAATAAATACCACGACGGATCCTCCTCCATGCAAAATACTCGACAACCATTTCCCTACACAGTACTGCTAGTCGGTACATTTATACGCTCCTGGAAGACAATAGAAGTCATGCTAGTTTTCTGCATCGGATTCGGCCACGAGTTTTGCGTGATATTCTCGAACGCTAAGGATGAGGCGTGGTCCCAGCACAAACATCTGCACGATCGAGAGAATTTGACAAGCACCATTGAGTATCTGGGATTCCATTGAATTTGAACTCTACGAAAGTGATGAGCAGTGGTTAGAAGCAGCTGTTAGCGATAGGTCGGCGCACCCTGAGCTCCGGAGAAATAGTGCCAAGCTGGAGGCAAGAGACACAAACAAAGCTAGCACATGCGAAACTTGAGCAGAGAAATATAGCCACATTCACATTAAAAGCTCACCTTGCAAAATAAAGCACGTGAGATTTTATCAGCACTGTGAAACAGCCTCCGATGGTTGATCTTGTTGATGGGTTGAGTCGTCGCAGGTCACGGAACTGTTTTACAGCAATCCAGACTGAAAGACACAGTGCGAGGACCTCCCAAACAATGTTGAGCATCCAAATCATTGAGGTCAGGAGCTGGACGTCCTCCACAGATTCAAAATCGCACATATATGTGCCAGAAAGTATCAGGTCCTCTGGTGTTTGTCTAATGAGCCGTGTTCTTCTAAGTCAACAGGTAAAGCTTTACCCCCCGTAGTATACCTGAGTCCTATTGCCGGGATCACTCCGCAGGCGATGTTGACAGCCAGGAAGATAACAACGAGGAAGATGAGCATTGTTCTAGATCTCTGATACATGGCATATAACCGAGCAATCATGATGACTTGCATCATGTTGCAGTCGAGTCAATATCACCGAGGTATTGCAGCTGGATAACTCACCACCCAACATGGCACCTAGGACCAGACTTGTCCCATTTATTGTGAAGTACATAATTTCGCCTGAAACACCCAATTAGTGATCGCCCTAGGAATCAAACACTCCAACTCACACCTATTGAGTCATTGTGCATTATATTTGAGCCAAGTTCGACGGTCTAAATCTCACTCACTCCTAAAAATGAGTGTATTCATTGGATGGGAATGAAATGATTGCGGAATACTCACTGTCTCTGTCAGCGAGACCCATGGCATACTTGCTGTGTGCTGCTGGTCAGAAGAATCGAACACGGTGTGTACGAGACATACGGAAAATATCAACGCTGATTATCAGAGATGAGTTATTAGTACAGTGCCAATTGTTGGCCTCGACATACATAGTATATGGTATTCCAATATAACGTATCTAGAACATTTTGGAGTCAGCACAAGTTGCCAACCACACCATAGTATAACATGAGGTACGAACAACCAGGTACAGCACAGTCATGAGGGACCAACGTTGCCTCTGTCACGAATTCATTGCATTCTCCTGTTTTTCTTCTTATATAGAACTCTATCACTCACCCAGACCAGTTCAATCTATAACACCATTCTTAGCGAGTTGGCTACTCTGGCGATAGTACTGACCTACCTCTTGTCCGAGCGTCAGTACTGGAAATACCATTAGAATATCAGTAGTTTCCAAACGATGTCCTGCTCACCCCAATCGTATACCATGATGACGCTGCCGGCAACTGCAAAAATGTAAGTCAAGTTTAGATCGAGACACCACCGATTGATGCGACGAACCCATACAATAGCTGGCAAAGACATTCGCATTGATTATCGGCCACCAGCTGGGATCATTTGAGACTATGGTCATATTCGAGGGATGGATGAGAGTGAGTGGGAGATATAACAATAGTGTTCGTGCTAGATATACCACCGTTCAGCGCTTGTATCACCAAATTCGGCACGATGGAGATGAATATTTGTTCCTTGTCAAGGCTTTAGTTTGTTCACGTATTGCGGTGCGAAATCAAGCAAGAAGTGAGAGTCCCTGGTGGAATCAAAGTAGATTTTAATCTGCAAACCAGTACTTATTACGCACATGGAATGTGTGAACATCAGAGAAGTTCGAACAATGTTTCATGATGTCGGCAACTTGTTTACAAACACCACATTCGATGTGTTCTTGCCGCACCTGCATCGTCAAGAAGCGTTTGCATTCTCTTTGCCTTGCTAGCCGAGCCCGAAGCGTAACGGCTTAACGAGGCGGCCCACCGATGGCTCTTAACAAGGTCCCATTCTGTGGCATTGCACCAGAGAAATCAAACAAGAAACGCAGAATGAGCTGAGGCGGAGTAAATATGGCTGACCTTGCTATCCGTTGCCTCGTACGCTCCAATCATTAGAGGCTATGGTGGTGTATCACGAGCCCGTCAGATACATCTTGGTTCATGATCCGTAATTTACTAGGAAAATGCTGCGCCACAGCTGCGGTATTTGCTGTGACGTTCCAAACTTTAGTAAATACAGCTTGCTTGTTACTAGCGATATGCTCTGGACTCCACATGATCAGCGCCTGTTTGAGGGGTCGGCTCAGTGTGGCTCTGCAGGAAACTATCAGTCGGACCTGGGTGCTAGTAACCATCAACATAGTTGGGACCCATATACACTGGACTTCCGTCCCAACGAGGATCGCAATGAAAGAGATCCAGGTTCCAGTTACTAGTAGTGTAGTAACTTGGTCCGTTTGAGAGGCACCGCGCGGGTGCAGCATTTTCACGATAACTATTGGATATATGACGTCACATCTACAAGTTGACAATGAAAGAGAAATCGCACATGGGATAAAAGACTCGCACGGCAACATGCAGGAAGCTCGATATCTGATCGTACAGGCTCATGTCGAGCAATCTTTTGATGTCCTTAATTGAACCGGTAAAGGTTGTGAGTTACAGGGAGTGAGATCCGTCAAATGGACAACAAACTTGGTGTCGGATCTTCATCATGCTTAGCAATTTCATAGGCAGGATACGAAAGTCGCACTGCTACTTCCCTCGTACGTATGGCTAAAGTTGGAGGAGAAACATCTCATCATAGCGCTACCCGCTGTTTGCAGTCTCCGAAGGAAGACAGTACTCGTTCCAGTATCCCGGCGAATCAAAAAAAGATTGCTGATTCAATGTGGGAATTGGGGACACGGAATTTATGCACCTGGTCGGTAGATTGCCAGAAAGATAGTAGAAGTAGGTCGTAGAGGTACCCTTAGTCTGGCCTATCGATTCGAGAGGAAGGAAGATACCCGGCAATCCCCGAGCACTGTCTTGCAACCGAAATTTTCCTGAAATCTTTCATCAAACTTCCGTTCAAGCTTTGAGTCGTGTCGCCGAGAATTCATTCGAGGTGCGAACCAGCAAAGATCCTCCTGTGTCCTGAATTGGACTTTGTACGTCACGTGGAAGATACTCCAAAGTCGAACACCCCCTGCTTCTTATTCAACCTGTATGGTTACTACGGCCCACCTCCATAAAAGACCCGCCGTCGATACAATCGCTCTCTATTTCATTGTCATCCGAATTCGCTGAGCACTCGTTCCACAATCTCTTTTCCCCGTTGATCCCAACCATCATCCAACCACCCCCTCGTGCACGGATATATAATGCTACCCGTCCACGTTCACATCTTCTAATTCATCCCCACCCTCCATCTTCTAGTTTTTCTTAAACATGATTATCCTCCCTCAACACCAAATCCAGAATCAAACCGCCGCTCTCCAATCCTGGCCACTGATCCCTACCATCATCGCAATACCAATACTTCTTACCGACCATGCAGTAGATTCATACACACCATGTAAGTATTACGTATATTCCTTTTACAGCACACCTGCATAACTCCAATATATAACTCAATTTCATTCGTAGATGTACACTTCTGAACGGACTTGTAATACGACTTCTTGCGATAATCACCCTCCATAAAACACCCATGCTGATCTGCGTGCTCCAATACGGGATCCTGCATCTGGCGCACGCGTTGGAGACGGCCTTTTTTTTGCTAATTGTAAGTGATTTGTTTCTTGCTCCACTACTCTGATTCAGTGCCTCACTCTAGGAACTGTACATTGACGATACCGCCTGCGAGTACCGCTCGTGCGCCTGTATGTGACCGCCGTCTTGGAAGTTCTAGCCGACTCTGACCTCGTAAGTACTCACTTACATACTATCGGTCCCTCAATACTTTCTTCAACTTATCTTGTATCTGCTCCCTTCCATGGCCATCGGACGAATTGCCGTTTGTGTGAGATATATAATACCGCCATTCGCGTTTATCATTCACGTGTTTCCGAATCCTGGCGTGCCTCCTTCCCTGGTCTTCGAACTTGCTCGAGTATTGATCTGCATCGAGTCTTACTCCCACCCAAGGACGACCAGCCCACCAATCGATCAAATATTGTATTTCGACGTTCAAGGTAGGCATTTGAATTCGATACGTACTGATTTTCTGTGACCCACATATTTTCCCTCGCACTTCGTCCATACGGTTAGCCCAGATAGAAAATAGTTACTGGTGCACGGCCATCCATGGGTTTCCACAAATTGTTCCCCTCGTATTCCGTCCGTTGTTTCCATTGTCACCTATTTACCTGAGTCCGGTCCAGATGACTGATAACACATTGTCTCGGTTGAAAACTTGCATTGTCAGCTATCTGGACTTGCACGAATCACTGTCACTGTCACTGTCACTTCTTCTCTTTCCTTGATCGTTCGAGCGAGATTCTTTCAACATGAAATCCTTGGGGTATCAGCTGCCTGAGATCAGACACGCTATCCCTACTTCTACTTTCTAGTCCCCTTGCTCTTCGTCCGCTTGTTCCAGATGACTGCTAGCACCATGGTCCACATTATTCGACAGAGTCATGGTACTGTCAGCCTTCTGGGCTTTTCCAATCACTGCCGCTGCTTCTTCCTTCCTTCGATCTTTGCGCTCAGACACATGATCTAGGCAAACTTCCTTGCCACATGGGATTTTTCCTCTATTAGCTGTCTGAGCTCAGACACTCTAAAGCTTTGCCACTCCCCTCGCTCTCCGTTCCTTTGTCAAGATAGAGGATAGCATCGTGAAGCTGCGAGCTGTTCGGCAGATGGTATCATCGGTCATCAGGACATTTACGAATGTCGTTGCCGTACATTCACGTGCTCTATCAGCTGTCTGGACTCGGATACCTTACTTCGAGGTCACTCCGATCGATGCCAATGTTAATATGTGTATGTATGTCACGATCTTGTTCGACGATTGACGCTGATGGACGTGCTACTTTGCTATGGGCTTCAACAAATCACAAGGACGCGAATACAGACCCAACGCACAATTCTATGATCACCGTAGCTTCGTTCTTTGCGCTCAGACAGATGATAAAAAGGGCAGTTCTTCCTTGTATGGATTTCTCTTGTTATCAGCTGTCTGCTATTAGACATGCTACTCTCGAACATGGGTCGGCAGACAGTCACTCGAGAAGATCCACAGACTGTTGGGTGATCATCTGCTGGTCCCAGAGCGAGTTGGATCGAAATCAAATGGTATGTCAGCATCTCATTCGGCGCTCCGCTCTGACGGTCGTGCTTGATTCAACAGATCATTGCAAGGACCCTAATCCAAATCCGACGCACGATTTGCAGTCGTATGGTATGCTCTTGACCAGTCTGATTTGCGCTGCCATGGTTGCTTGTTTACGAGTTTAGTCGTATGGGTGGAGCGCTACAGTAGTGCGACTCTAATCAAGTACGTATGTCAGCACACCGTGGTTGGCCTTGCTGATACTTTATCGGGTGCGCTTGGTGTCTTCTGACTGGGGGCACCAATTCTCACTTCTTGCTTTGCTTTTCTACTCCCTGCTCAGTGCGTCTTATCTAGATGCCATACACACTCGTAATAGAGGTGCACGCTCGAACCGTAAGTCTCTTTATTCAAAATGACATCCTTGAGATCGTTGAATCATGCTTGACACAGATGATTGTTATCGATGATTTGACCATCTGACGGCGATCGGTGATCGGCGATGGGTTAGTTCGTGCCAGTCATATCCGCAACAAAAGCTAACACGCTCAATCGCAACAATCCCTAATAGTAGTTGCATAGGAAATCAACACCCTGCTTTCAAATCCGAGCGATAACTCATTATAGTGCACACTATTGCAGCATTCCCCATCTAGAATACATGCCAGCTTATCGCATAGTATATGCAAATTACGGCTCTCATGAAGTTTGGGGGACTGAATTTCAGCCTTTCAGTCACCGAAATTTCATGATGAGCTCGTCTTGAACGTGGGAATCCAGCTCACGAACACCGTGTAGGCAGACCATCAGTAGTGTCTCTTCTATAAAGCCTCCATTTGTTCTAACGATACTTGAAAAGTAGCTTGGAGTCGAACCCTCTAGTGTGCTCGTTAATTTTTCTATATCCGCCTTCATCATCCCAATTCGAATGTTGATGACAATGCAACACTGGATCCACTTGGGCTCAATGGAGGCAAATCAGCCTGGTCAACGAGCTAAGCATCTGCTAGAGGTACTCAGTGCGTAAGACTGAAGTAGCTTGGATCAACGGATGCTGACAGGGTCCACAGGCACCACTTCAGTGGTCGAGTACTTCTCTGAAGTCCTGGAAACAGCCACCTTCCAGCAATGGCATCGGGAGCTAACAGACTTCTACCAGCCGGTACGATCTTCACAGCACTAGCGTACTGAGATGGAGTCCATGAACCTCAGCATCAGGGAGAGATCTCGACTCAAAGTTCGCCAAAAGCTCTTGTATAACCTAATATTATCTACTCTGTAACTTACATGAATAAGTACCACGACAAAACCTGGAATAAATAAACACGGATTCTCCCGCTCCCTGCACACCACTCACCCATCGCAAATCCATCATATCGAGCATCTCCTGCGCTATACGCTACTGCTAGTTGACACATGGACACGTTCCTGAAAAGCAAGTGAAGTCATAGCGGTTGCCGTATCAGGGTTGGCTACGAGTCCAGCGTGATATTCTCGAACACCGAAGATGAGGCGTGGTCCCAGCACAAACATCTGCACGATCTGGAATATCTGATCGAGACCAATATAAATCTGAGATTTTAGGGAATGTCGGTCCTAGAGAAACGATGAATCATGGTTGAATGTAGAGGTTAGTGACAGATCGTCATACCGCTGAGATCGTCTGACTCAAAAATCCGATATGGAAGCAGGGAATAGCAACAAAGCTAGTACATGCAGAGCGTGAGCGGAAAAAGAGAACCACATTCAAATTATGAGCTCACCTCGCAAAGTAACCCATATGAGTTTTCATTAACACTGTGAAGCAGTCTCCGATAACACCTCTTGTTGAGTGTCGTGGCAGTTCACGGAAGTGTTTTACAGCAACCCAGATTGCGAGACATAGTAGGATAACTTCCCATACAGCGCCGAGTATCCAAGTTACGGAATCCAGAAATAGGAATTCTGCCGTATGGTCAAACACGCACTGATAAGTGCTGGAGAGAATGGATTCCTCTGGTACTTGCTAATGAGCCTGATGCACTTAAACATTTCATACATAACCAAAGCTTACTCGCTGTAAGCTGCATCGTCATTATTGCAGTCATCACTGCGTCGGCGATTCTGATGGTCAGGAAGATGACGACGAGAAATACCAGCACTTTTCTGGATCGCTGATACATAGCATGCAACCGAGTGATCATGATGACTTGCATTATGTTTCAGTCAAGTCAGCGTCACCGAGGCGTATAGCTCACCGCCAAGTATTGCATTTACAACGTCACTCATCCAATCATGTGTGTCGTACATGATGAGGCCTGACAAATCCAGCAACGTTAGTTATCAACTTCGGAGGATCACAGGCTCGAAACAAACTCACAACTGTGGGAGTCATTGAATTGAATTGACAAGTTGTTTGAGAATCTCACTCACCCCTGCATGGTAGTTCAGTTGTTTGGACGGGAATGGAAAGCATCGGTGTGGAATGCTCACTGCACCTGTTTTCGAAATTGTTGGAACACTGACTGTATGCTGCCCGTGACAAGAAATAAACAGAGTCTATGCGAGGAGACGTACTCAAAATATTTATCCTGATTGTAAGAGATGGGTAATGAGCACAACATCAATAGCTTAAACTTCCAAACATACACAGCATATCCTATTCCAGCATAGTGCACCTAGGATATTTTGAAGTCAGCAAAACTCGTACTTGCTAAGCGTAAATGTTGAAGCACAAGGTACATACACTGAGATAGAGAAAGGTCATCAGGGACCAATGTTGCCTCTGCCGTGAACAAGTTGTATTTTCACGTCGTTCTTTTGATGTGGGAGTCCGCTCACCCAGATCAGTTCAACCTGTAACACAATTCTAAGTGAATGGGCTGCCCCGGTAATGGATCGACCTACCTCTTGTCCAAAAGTAAGTGCTGGAAATATTATAAGGAAATCAATGGTTCTTTCATACTCAGTTTTATTCACCCCAATTGTACATTAGCCCAACAGAGGCAGCAACTGTGCAACCGCAGTCAACGTTAGATCGACATCACCGTCATCATCATGCGGCCGACCCTGAACGAACCAATAAAATAACTGCGAATAAGATTCGCATTGATGAGTGGCCACCACCTGGGATCATTCGAGACTAGAGTCATACTATTAGAGAATGAGAGTGAGCGAACAGCGGAACTTGGTGGACGTATATGATCGCATCAACGTGCTTGATATATCACCATCCAGCGCTTAGTAGAAAGGGAAAGTCCATCTAAGAGTGCTCCCTTTTTGAATCAGATTGAAACCGCAACTTGAAATGGCAGTGGCTCACGCCAAGTGAACGTCGCAGATGATCGGAGAACTATTCGAGATTTTGTCAACATGCTAGTGATGTTCGTGGCATTGCTGGGTTCAACGTCCAGCCTCGCTGCATCAATTATTGATCCAACACAGGTTTGAACAACGCCGAAGTTGACATCGTGGCAGACACTTGAGGTCAACAGTGTTCTTCCTTGAAATTCACTCTACTTACCTGATCATGATGCTGATGGCCTTAATCACGACACAAGCAAAAGTATAACACGTGTCGTATCCAGTTTCCTGTCATAGAATACGGCCGACGTATGAGGCGACTTGCAAGGGCCGTCGTACAAAGAAGTGAGACGTGGTAGAAATCGTAATGGCGTGTCTGGAACGCGCATCACCCTACTCAACAACAGTATATTTCTTCAGTTTATTTGCTGTTTGAACAATAACTACCACTGGCGCCGGCCTGCATCTGTCCCGTCGGCGGTCCAAGGCCACCGATGTGAGTGAAATGGCAATGGGCTAATCTCCGGAGTCTTTTGCCTCAGCAAGGAGCGCAACTGCGGGAGTTTCCAAGGGGTTCAGTGTGGATTTTCTCTTGCTGTTCCATCGGCACTGACGTTGTGTTGTCAATGCATTGAGTTATCGCGCATCATGATGAATGCTATCTTGGGTGTTCCCCATGGCAGTCTCTCGGCAAGTCGGTCGGCTGCTCAAGCGCTCATGCACATATTTCACTCTCCGCGACAGGAATAGTACATAAACCTTTTATCTCGGTTGATTTCGTCCTCCACACTCAAAAAAATAAACCGGCAAAACATTCAACGTTAACTGTTACTGACTAGGGTTGATATCTCATTTCAGTGCGCACTGTTGCAGTACTCCCCATCTAGAATCCATGGCAGCTTGTCGTATAGTATATGCAAATTGCGACTCTCATGAAGCTTTGGAGACTGAATTTCAGTCTTTCAGTCACCCAGGCTTTATGATGGCTCGTTAATTGAATGTAGGAACCCAGTTGACTAATACCGTGTAGGCAGACGTGGCATCAGTAGCACTGTCTTTTTAGTGTTCTACTCCGACGGTCTTACTAGCCGAATGGACTTCAACAGTTCATTTCAAGGACCCTTACACAGGCCTGACGGGCGATCAGATGTGCAGTTACATGGTTGACACGCTACTCCGATCAGCGTATGTTATAATCTCGGAATACCGTAGTCGACGCTCACTTAAACAGGCCATGTTGGACGTTTTCCGGAGGTCACTACTAGCAGGTCGTCGTTCTGAGCGAGGTGATGTTTTGCCTGCCTAAATTCGATGTCTTTGCCATCTCAGTACTACTAGGAGTCGGAATCCGATAAACGGCGCCTGATCTTGCCAGTGGCCAAACCGAAGCTTGGGAAATCTGAACTTATTGAAGCGCCACTACTCCCACACCTGGCATCCATGCACCCCGACCGCGGAGCAAGGTTCATTTCTTCCTGTGGCTCCGAACAAGTAGGAATGAAGTATATGTCATGATATATATACATAACTTACATCAGTCAAATGAATATTTGCAGCGAATGTACAGCGTCTCTTTCTTGAAAATAACGATGATGTCATCGTGTAGGGTCATGTGAAAATTGCAAACACGGTGCCAGTGTATGGTCGCTGATGTAGATGATGAACATTGCATAAAGTACACTAATAGAATTACAAAAGTCGATGGTATCAAGTTACAGATGAGTCAGATTTCCACATAGTCAATATTCAGTAAAGCGTGATGTAAGATAACAAATATTTTGTCGGTAGCTCAAGGAAAGCTTTTTGATCAATCTTTCTTCTTTCCATATATCGCTTCACTTCGTCTGAGTCTGTAGCAATGTCAACTTAGTCCTGTGTTGCTCATATGCATGTGATACTTACTCGAAGGTAAATTCGGGCATTCCCAGCACACTGCACGGGCACGGGCAATGTATTCGACCGTCCGACCTCTGGTTTTAGGTTTTGGACAGGAGACGTCGAGGCGGGTTCCCCATACTATAGTTCTGTGAGACACCGAACGACAGCAGCTGTTACCAGAAACACTTACACGATCGAATTGGTGCATATCAAATTTGCTCATGATAGGAATGGATCCTCGACGCTCGGCATTGGCATCAGCAGTAGCAATGTTTTTTCGCGATGATGAGCCAGAACTGTGAGATGACTGCTTGGAGCTTTTCTACAATCACGTTCCTCGTCAGGTGCTGGCTTCTCTGTAAAGCGATGCTCACTTACAGCACTAGCACACTTGCGTGCTTGAGTCCCGCAGGTTGACATGGAGAGATAGGTTGATGCTTGAAGTTGCTACGAGTTCAAAATGGAATGGAAGAAGAAAGAGCCAGATACCCCAGATATCGCGTCTGTCTTTTGAGAGCTCGCGCCGTGGGTTGAGTTGGTGCTACTTGCAGATATCAGTAGTATATATACCTGCAGCACGCCCCTTGTCGTGCTTGGACTCGGCTATGACAGCTTGCCATGACGGTTGGCGCTCTACCAACACGATTGTCAAAAAGAACCATAACGGCGGCGATAGAACCTATTGACAATGTGGTACGAATGAGATTGACGCCCTATAGATAGAAGCCCAAGTCCTGCAGGCTGCCACAATAGGACAGGAAAAAACGTGGCGTTCTAGCTATTTCGAGTTCAGGATCAATATATAGACAGATATGAACGTTTGAACACCGGCTGCTATCAACCTGCGATACCAACACCAGAGACTCAGACAGTTGTCTGACAAGAATATTTGTCGGAGATTAGTTCGGGAGCGACTCACATAGATTTCCCGGGTGAACCAAACGTGTTCGAGTCCGACATGAGCTACTTGAGCTTTCGATCAGAAATGCCACCGAGTTTATCACTCGGCTACATAGGTCATGCGTCAGGAGAAGTACTTGCATAGCAAACGATTTAACCTACTTGTGATCGGAATAAGACAATCAATTGTGCCTGCGGGCTGCCTAGTGCTGTGCATTCAGATGGGGTCTCCGAGTCGAGGAATTTCTGAAAGTTCTTTTCGGACTCAGAGGCTGTGTACCAGCAGCTCGGACATAATAGGCAGTCACAGTACACAGTACTGCATTTTAATCTTACCCAACTACAGCAGGGCTTCTACCACACCAATGTGTTCGCTTGAGACCAGGAAGCGCCACCCGGCAGGACCCATTGGTAATTGTAACTGTAGCAGTTGCGGGCAGTATTTTCCGCTTAGTTCGGTTTCATGTTACCCAGATGTTGAATTCAGGAATACATTCACATCATCACGGTAAGCGGCATGATGAGAACGTTAACGAATGGTTGAGTTGAATTTCCTTTACCTGATTTAGCAAAGTAAAGATTATTGCCACTAGTCTTTTTAGTGCTCCTGACTAGGTCTCATTGCATGTTACTGACAGTCTCGGGTGCCACTATCTTCCGCCGCGGCGACAATGGAGGAGACGCCCTGTTTCCCAGAAGATCCTTATCCCTCGGAGACAAGCCCTTCTTGATATCTCTTGCGTGTTAGAACTCCAGAAGCAGTATATGAAATACCCCAAAGTAACCGGATGAGTTCGCCGTGCCTCATTATCACAGGCGCTCGTGCTCAATCGTGCCTGTGAAGCAATGTATCTAAAGGTGACATTCTTGGCTAAGACGCTCGGACAATACTGTTTCCGATTTCCCCGGGGTCGGGGATGGCCGCGAGCGCTTTTCTATTTCCCCCTACACCCCATATGCATAGGTATTTCGATCTGCTATAGAGCGCAACACCTGAATTAGGAAGCATGCGGAGCCCCGTCATTAAATGCAGGTCGTTGCGCCCATTCCCTTTGACGGACTTCCGTATTTGCCGGCTCCGGGATTCTCAACAAATCCTATCTTATCAGTCTTCTCACTACAATGAGCTCTTCTAACTAACGCTCAGACGCAAAAGGCCTAGGGACCATCAGTGGCACATTCCGGATACCGCACATCGAATCGGTTGCTTGCACGCAGCAATCCCAATTGCATATTCATACATATGGACGTCACCACTGACAAATTTATAAATGGATGAGACATACATTCACGATACCTGTCGTACATACTAGTATCGAACTGTATGGTAATGTCATCGAGGTCGTAAACATGAAATATAGCATCAAATAGCAGTGGGTCATGAATGCGGAAACTAAACAATGTGGAAGATGTGGAAACACTGGCAGTACAAGCGTATCGGTATCATACCATGCTCGACGAATGAAGACCAGCTCCTAAAAGACCTGCCTCATCGACATAGTACATCCTTCGAAACACGAGCAGTATGCAGAAACATAAGAAAGTGGAAGGCATCGGATACAACACAAGAGTATCAATCACCATAACTCGGATGGCGAACAGTAAAGACCAGCTCCTAGTATTAGGAGACCTGCCTCATTGACGTATGCGCTTCCAAACATGACAGAGACAGAAACGAAACAGAGGGCATTGGATCCACCAAGCCGTATAGGTACACCATGGCTCAAATGGCGAAGAGTTGAGGACCAGCTCCTAGTAATAGGAGGCCTGCCTCATTGACATACACGCTTCATGCACAGCGGCACAGCCAAAGCGCACGGACGATATTCGAGAACTGTGGCACTGCTGAGCCTAGGAAACACCGTACTAGGGGTGGCGTCTCAATGAAGTATGTTTCCTTTATCAACCCATAACACTCACTCGTTCGAAGATCCGGGCCCGGTAAGCGCCCTGACCAGCAAAGTTATTAGATACAGGAGGATCCGCAACTGCGTGAGGCGCAATAGTGTTTGAATCACCCCCCAGAGAGTGAATGAACTGGTGAGCGTGAGCTCTTGCCAACACAGGAGGATGGAAGGTTTGTGAGACAGGTTCTTCAATGTGCTTTGGTGGAGGACTGTCGTGGTGATGGGACTTCTTTTTGTGTCCACCTGCAGACTATACCAGACATTAAAACATGACAAGGATAGGTACGCGGGGAGACATACGCGAGCGGCCAAGTGTGCTTTGTACGCAAATGCACTCATGATAGTAGGAAAGGGATGGACTGTGGACAAACTTTGTTTGGTCGTTAGTTTGACTTGATAGGGACAGGAAGATGAAGAGCGTCGTAGAAGTGAGCGGAACGGCCAAAGCCTGAGGGACACCTAGTGACAGGTGAATTATATTATATAGATAGCATGGCGCCTAAGTGAAATGACGACAGCCAGGAAAAGACTCCGCTGACATGCCTCATGCACAGTGCAAAGCCCTATGAGGAAATCTCTGGAAATCCAATCTCGGACGATTTTCTGGCACAGCACAATTCCTGTGCTTTACTCTACTAGCTTGACCATTGGTAGAAAAGTTCCTTGCAAAGCGACATCAGCAGTATTTCGCAGACTCGGCATCTGGTAAAGAGCGATTGGACGATACAAAGTGTGGTATCGAGTTCTGTAGGACAGACTCCACCATCGTGAATACACAAGTTCAGCAATAATGACAGAAGGAAGCCGTCTTTCTTCGTTTTGGTCTGCCCAAAAAAAGACTTGATACACAAGCTTACTGTTGCATTTGCTAGCCGTCACAAAAATAACCGGCAAGACCCTTCATTGCGTCACAATTCAGTTTAAGTCTCAAGACGTATGACATAGGTGGCTGCCACTGGAGGCCAATGACGGGTGGTGGTTAAGCAGCGCGTCCTGAAGGTGCGGATCGCCTGGCACATTCCACACAGGACGAGTTGCAATTGGTTCCAGCCACAGCAATTAGTAATACGTCAAGATTCCATAGTTGAACCACAAGCGTTCGATCGTCCTGAATGTACGGCCACTTGAACATTGTGGCATGCGTGGCTCATCAAGAGAAGCGCGTCGCGAGCGGGATGAAGTGGTTAAGGTCCGTGAGCTTATGTAGGCTCGAGGCCTGAGGCCGGAGGAATGGAAGTGGAAGCGGGAGGCTGAACTTGATCGATGTGGCGCGCACTGGACCGCTACAGTATCTGATGAAGTTCTGAACTGGGTGTGAAACCAGTGGCAACCGCCCTTATCAGGGTCGCTCGAGCGCTTCGAGTCTACAGACATAGTGGCTGCGCCGAAGCTCGACAGCAATGTTGTCAGGTTTTAAACCGGGCAACTCAAATGTTGATATCGCTGTTATTGGTCTTGACGTTCTTGTGGTCCATCCAGAACAATTCGGCGTCCTTCAGCAGAGTGATTAGGGAACAAGTATTGAAGGCTTCATCGAAGAATCTGTCGAACTCGGTGAAAAGGTAGTAGATTATAATGGATTATGAACATCGTTACAAGCAGGCCACTCAGAAGGTTTTTTGGCTGCAAAGCTCCCGAGTAATCATTTCATTTTGGTTGCCCTGCCAGCTGCTGCGTGGAGGTTTGTAATAGAAATCTAATCAGATGACTGAATACTAGTTCGGTTCGATGCCGACTACCGTATAGTATGAAGTATTAACGGCCTTCCATTGTAAATTTGTTTATTATACCCACTGTGCTGGCCAGGGCCTGCAGTCATTCGCCTCGTTGCTTTGCCACGACCTCCTCCATTACTCAGTGGTTACTCCTTGTTCTCGTCGCTCACTATTACTTTCTCTGATTCTTTTCCAATACGACTTCCATGCGATTATTCCACCCTTTGGCTTTTTTCCTTGTCATCTTATCATCCCTCGTCAATGCTAGCGTGACGGTGTACCACCAAGTTCCATTTGCAGATTCAACTGCTACTACCAGTGCAGCTTCTGCAAATTATACCGGCGCTGCAGCTTATGATCCTACCGTACTAACACCTCCCCCCGTTCCTGCAGGGTTCACAACACAATTCGGAATCCAGCTTTCCAGTTCGTCGGCAACTATGCAGGGTCTGAGTATACCCCAGAAAGGGTCGTTCATGGGTTTCTCTATTGAATTCACTGTCGTCAACCAGATTTGTAAGTCCAATCATGTCCCATCCAGTAGTTATATCTACTGATCACAAATGTTTGTAGTCGGTGTAAATGCGTAAGTCCTGACGAGGCTACTAGGTTCACATACACGAACTTATATGTCATAGCACGTATTTACAGGTTCCCTTTTTAAACCTCATGGCCCTCCTTCGCGAACGGGCAGGCGAAGTGCACATTCGAGTCGGAGGAAATACCCAAGAGACTGCAGTCCTCGTCGATAGTCTTCCTGGAGGTGTGATGGTAGCCAAAGAACGTGGCACTACGACTGATGTGGTGCGTGCAATGTGCATGATCATTGTCGATTACATCATATTTAATTACTTCTTTCTGAATGCTTCAGACTGCCACCCCAACACTTCTTTACACGGCTGAGGTTTTCTACACAATGGCGAACATATCGGCCCTTGTAAATACAAAATGGTTCCTTGGTAAGGCTCATATAATTTACTCCACACCGTCAATGACATTGGCGTAGGGATACCGTTCAATGACACAAGTAACCTACGACTCGCCATCGCGGAAGTTGGCGAAGCTGTGTTGAGCGGCCCTGGATATTTGCTCGGGTTTCAAGTTGGAAATGAGGTATGTCCTCTCTATATCTCGAACCAATCACTACTCATCACCGCAGCCCGATCTTTATGCAGCGTTCGTGGTCGTATTTTGTTCTTTACTCTAAAATTCCGACAGTTTCATCAGGCACGGGGTCCGACCTTCCACATACTCACCCTCTGACTACTTCGGCGATTTTGGCATAGTAGCTGCCGCCGTCAACAACGATGCCAATATTCCTGTTAAAAACAACTTGGTTGCCCCATCTATCACAGGCCAATGGACTCCAGAATGTTCGGTTCTAATTATATTCTGTGCTTGATACCAAAAACTAATCCAATACCATCAGCCGTGTGGGATACCGGACTCATTGGATCCTATTCTTCAAGCTTGGGAGCGCTGGCAGTTGAACAGTGAGCTCTATCTGTGATTTTTTACACAGTTTCTCAAGTTTCTAAAGTTACCCAACCGATAACTGCTTCGCTGAGTACGGCATCGGTTCTCCTGTCGTCCCACAAGACGTGTTTCAAAACTTCCTCAACCACACCTCTGGCATCAATATCATTGCTCCCTATCTCAACTCCACCAGTTATGCGCAAGCCAGTGGATTGCCCTTCATCATGATGGAGACCAACTCAGCATCCTGTGGTGGCTTACCAGGGATTAGTGATGCCTTTGGCGCGACTCTATGGGCACTCGATTATGGCCTTCAGATGGCTTATAGCAACTTCTCGGGCGCAATGATGCACGTTGGTGGACAAGATGTGTACTACAATGTAAGTTACGTGTTCTAAACCCTTTGAGGTGTCACTGAGCCACGCACCCTGTCCAGCCTTTCACTCGTGAGCTCTCCCCAGTTGAAAGCAGCTGAGAGAAGGCCATACTTACATTTCTTTTGTAGCACCTCCTACGAACCAGTCGGCATACCACCAATGGACGATTGGCTCTATATTTTACAGCACAATTGTCGTCGCTGAAGCGTTCGGACCCTCTGGCAACGCACAAATTATTGACCTGCAGGCTAACACCGACAACATGTTTACCCCTGCCTACGCAATCTACGAAAATGGTGCCCCCGTGCGCCTTGTACTACTCAATTACGTATCAGATCCGAGCGGTGCGAGCGATTATACAACAACAATTTCCATAGGCGGCTCGGCAATTGGACAGAGCAACGCCACGCCTGCACAAATACAAGTCAAGTACGTGTTCCATAGTATCACTACTCGCTAAACTAATTCCCATCTTAGATATCTAGTGGCACCTTCCGTGTCAGAGAAGTCCAACATTACGTGGGCAGGCCAGGTGTGTCTGGTCACCATTTTTTTTCGTTTACTCATGTCCTTTTCAGACCTTTGGTGGGACCTTCGAGTCTGATGGCCGCCTAACGGGCTCAGAAAACGTGCAGACAATTAACTGCGACCAGTCGTCTAATACATGTCAAGTGACTGTCCCCGCCCCTGGCGCCGCACTCGTCTTCCTCTCCTCCAACGCATATGCAGAGTCAGGGAACCCCTCCACCCAGACATTCTCTACCACGGCGGTCACGAAGACGGCGAATACAGCAAGGGTTGACCCGAGTGTGCTGGCAACCTCGAATGGGATGTCGGGAGCTACATGGGAGCCTGGGAGCACGAGTAAAGGGGACATTGGTGCTGGCCTGAGGAATTCACTTTCAGTTGTTTCTGTTGTCGGTGCAGCTGTGCTGAGCACTGGCGTGTTATGCACATGGTTCTGGTCATGATGTTTTTACTTAATTGTTGGCACTAAATGTACTAGTAGCGCCACCACAGATGTCCGTCACGATGTTCATGTTACAATCAAAACTCTTGAAACTGTATGTTGCACACGATGACTTCAGGTTGTGGGGTATGCAGCTGTTCATATGGACTGGGCAGGTTTGGATGCTGGAGCGCTGCCAAGAACTCGGTTGGGGTGACGAACTGAGGAAAAGTGTCACAGTTGATATCCCTGTCCAGAGCAGGCTCAGCAGAGCTTACGGTCGCTGATACCGTTCATTTGTAAGTACTTATATGTATTGCCCGCCATGTCGATACCTGGGCTGCTCGATATATGCATCTTCAAACTCGAAGGTGAGCGTGATGCAAGGCTGAATTCGGAGAATCCATTGTGTGTACCTGAAATGGGTATTTTACAGTATTTGTAAAGGAATTGCAATAACTTCCCGGGAAAAGCCCCACCGTGCATTTTTCAAAGAGGGTATTTACGTACGTTGATTTGTCGAGAAATCTTTCAAATGTCCCGCATTACCGTATCACGTTGTATTCTGAGGTATTGCGCTGTGTAGCAATTATGTAAAACGTTCTGGATGTGAACGTTGACATTAATATTGATGAGCAACGTTATGTGTGGAACAGGTGAACGGAGAGTGTAATTGTATGGCGGGAAGTCCTTTATTATATATAGGAGGAAATGCATAATATTGTAGATTTTGGAGTATATCGTAAATGTTTATGAAATATGTGTACAGTGGGGAGACTGACTTCAATATGCTCTCTTGGGGTACCATATGTGCGAGTCTCC